AATGAGTATTCGATTCTCGTATCGATTGGATTCTGACACACTAACCACCGAAAACTGTTAAGCCCTTGAAGCCTCGAAGAGGTTTCCACACGCACAAAATAAATCTGTGGATATAAAGTTACGTAGTGTGTGGTTACATGCAATTATGCTGTTAAGAATTACGCAAGTGAATATTATATCTTAATGCGACAAAAATAATATATGTTTATTTTAAAGACAACTCCCGCACTAGAAATACGTCCTGTGTCGCGGGGGACTTTACAAACATACATGAAATGGACACAAAGAACACCCAGACTCAGAACGACAATTTGTGGATCACACAGTGTCCCAGACGGGTTGGTATAGGGTTTGCTTCAAGTTTTCCTTCTCTTTGCAGTGCTGTTGTCCTGCTTAGTTTGCTCCCTTAGTCGGCTCTTACGACACCCACGGGATGAATTGGGGTGGTGACAATTTGTATTCTTAATCCGTCACCACACGGACTGGTATACGTATATGTGGTACGGCGTGGTATAGTAGGCCAAACCCTCCTTTCTAAGGAGAGGCCTATGTCCAGCAGTGGACTAGTATAGGCTGTTGATGTGATGTGATGATGTGACAGTGTCTCATGTTTGGATCCAACCCACAACACTCAGCGCAGTTGGAAGAAAGACACTGGACTAACTCTTTACAGTGCATAAAGTCAGTACAAACATACATGAAACGGACACAAAGACCATCCAGACTCAGAACGACAATTTGTGGATCACACAGTGTCCCATGTTTGGTTCCAAACCACAACACTCAGCGCAGTTGGAAGAAAGACCCTGGACTAACTATTTACAGTGCATAAAGTCAGTACAAACATACATGAAACGGACACAAAGGACATCCAGACTCAGGACGACAATTTGTGGATCACACAAAGTGTCGTCCCATGGTTAGATCAAACCCACAATACTCAGCGTAGTAGGAAGCGGCGAAATTACCCTGGACTGACTATTTACGGTGCATAAAGTCAGTACAAACTGCCCCGCTCAGGAAAGCCAACACCTTAAAATGTTTCGATATATACCTACATATATTAGGCGAAGGGCTGGGTGTTAGAATATAATCGAGAGGGTAAACATCCCCTCCTATTACTGAATTTTCCTACCAATTCTGTTAAGTTCGTGTATACTACATAGTCGTTTTATCTATCTGACACACGAACGAATCCGTGATCTAAAACTTGTATCTAATAATTAAGTGCAATTAGAAACGGACCGCGAAGACGAATACTATTAATGCCCAGTCACTTAGCGGCCCATTCAACCTGAATACCTCGAATACATTGGAATCAGTAACCGCAACGGATATTTAGATACCTGTGATTTACTTAGATATAGAGTTAATACACTAATTAAGCAGTAAGTATTACTGGTATTCTAAGGCGATTGGCCGCGCCCACCTCTACAGCGTAGTGCCTGGTCACAGAATTGTGGCGAAACTTTGGCCAACTTAGCGATGATTTACAACTTGATATTTTGAACTTTGGAGTAGAATTCAATAGGTAAATGGTTCAGTTAGAGATAGCTTTATTTTTTTTAATATTTTACCATTGTAAATATAACACTGAATGTGTACAATCTTATCGAAAATAAAGTCACCCGAGAATGTTTTGTAAATATGTAGGGAAAATACCTCTTTTTATTTCTTCCCATTTTAAATCTATGTCGTTTGTTAGTCTATGTATACTCCACAGATACCTGCATTAGGTTTTTCCTCAGGTAAATTAACCATCACTAGTACAAATCACTACAAGGAAAGGCAAGTTGTCTTTCCTGGAAGTAGCGAAAGCAACCGGTTCGAAAGGTTTTGTATTCCAGTAACCACACCTTTATTAAATATAAACATTCAAGATGATGGCAATTATATAAACTTCTTCAATATGACCGATCCGATTCTATGCGATATAATAATAATAATATTTTCAGATTTCTGACACACAACGCCATCTAGTTTTAAACTAAGCGAGCTCGTACTGTGAAAACCAGATTGACTGATACATTACTTAAATATATTTTTTTGTTAAATATACAATCATGTATATTCTAAATATAATATTATAAGCGACACAGCAGTCGCATACGCTACCAGTGTGCCACCGAGGCAGAAGAAGCAATCAATTCCATTCAAAATCAATCAACGCGCGTTTAGCGTTGCGATGTGTGAAGATTTCAGTTCGGGCCAATCGTAGCGCCGCACGCGGTTACCGTGACGATCGAGTACATGTGAAATAAACACGAACTTGGCCCTCAGGGTATATGATAATACCTGAAATTCAGTAGCGAGTAGTTTTTGTTTTAAAGTTTTTGAATTATCATATTTCCTCTCGCTTTTCTGCAGTCTGTGAGTGATTTCGTGGAAAGGGACGGAAATGTGTTACAGAAGTCAGGGATGCGCATTCGTCGATTTCACCAATGAATGCGCGCGGTGCTGAGTTGACTGTGAGATGTCAGAGGTACACATTACCTGGGACTATTGCACGCTTCACTCGTTTTTTATCATTTACTCTTCCAGATCTGTCGTTATCTTTTTAAGTGATTGAAAGGTGACCGTTACCTTTCACTAGCCACGCTGACACCATTATGCCACCATATGCGTTAGTAATATTATTAAAACATACAATATACATAAAATCTATCGATGACTTAATCTCGACAAACTCCGGAAACATATATTTCCACTAATACGTATCTGGTTGATACAACAATCTAAGCTACTATACCAGGGAGAGGTGGGCGTGTCAGCACTGCGCAGGCGCAAGGTCGTTTGACTCACGCGCACTTGTCTCACATTTTCCCACACACAGCCGATTCAGATCGCCCACTGACCTATCCACCGACCTCAGCACAATCAATATATCCACTATAAACATAGCACAGTACATATTTAGTATGCAGGTTTTTTTTTTTAAATTTTATAAATCGCACCCTTCGTAATTAAAAATTAGTGCTTAGACATTGAAGTCTTAAGCCTTAATAGTTCTAAAAAAGGCAGGTATTCTACAAAAACGGGTTTCTGGTGATTGAATTTTTAATATCGTCTTCAACGGTATAGAGATTTTTTATGGTTTTCCTTGTGTTTATTCTTTCCAACTCACCCGGCCCGCGCTAGGCCCTGGAACGGGCCAGGTACCGCAGACGACGGAGATCTTAGAACGATCTGAAGCAAAAGTGGGACATGGGGGTTCCCACAAAAATACACACAATACAGCAACCATATTATTATTTCCAAAAGGAAAAGCGATTGCCGATGACACTCATAATGATGTAAGGGTTCGAACGCATTCGTTATCAAAATCTGGAACGGCATTTAGAAGTCATAGTGGAATAAAGAAACCATGTGAGTTTCTTTATTCCACTATGACTTCTAAATGCCGTTCCAGATTTTGTTGTCGAATCCGTTGAACCGTCCGTTAATCCGTTGATGAACCCTGAAAACATACACCTTTTTTATCTACTAGTCGTGTAAATCCCTTAAACATATTCCTACCAGTACCTATACATAAGCTACTTCGGTTATCTGAAAGCAAAACTTGACACCTGCTGTTTACTCAAATTCAATTGAATCTCCATTTTTTCTATAAATTATTAGTACTTAACCATTTTTTGCACAAATATCGTCCGTCTAACAAAGAAATCTTGACAAAAAACTGTTCTATTCAGTTGTTGGCTTGTAATCCAATAGATCACAGTTAAGGTGATTAGTGTACAATAAAGTTCCAAGTACAAAACACAATACGTTTAGATAATGTCATGGACAATGTTTAGGGAAACAAGACGGAATGAACAGATAAATTTATACGCCAGCTTATCATATCATGCCAACGGATGACTTAATTGATTCGTTTTTGAATAGGTATTTGGTTCGTCCACATAATGTGCGGAAGAGGTATTGCATTCGACTGCAACATTAGCATAGCATCATCAACAGCCTTTAATAGTTCACTGCTGGACATAAGCCTCTCCTTAGAAAGGAGGTTTTGGCCTACTATACCACGCTGGCCAGACGGGTTGGTATAGAAAGAAAGAAAGAAAGAAAATACGTTTATTAGTCACAACACATACACAGCCAAAAAAGGAATTACAGATACAACATAGAAGAGAAACAGAAAAGAAACAATTTGCTCAACTGAAGAATAGCACAAACAATAACAAAAACAATAAAGTACACCACAACTCAGCCTATGCTATAGTCCCTAAAAGTGACCACAGCGCTGATTACTTTTGCTCCCTTAGTCGGCTCTTACGACACCCACGGGATGAATAGGGGTGGTGACACTTCGTATTCTTAATCCGTCACCACACGGACCATAGCATTGGTCTACATATAAAATTAGTTGACTGGCTGACTGATCCATCAACGCAGAGCTTAAACCGCTGGGGCTTCAAACTTTAAATGTTGGCAGCTCATGCCATTAATGCTGTAAGCACTCTACTAAGACAGGATTTTTGAAAATTTTGGACAGTTGTGTGGATGTTCGTCATTTACAAACATTTTTTTCTTTAGAAACAGGAAATAGGAATTAGTTACCGAGCAAAGCCGCGGGCAATGGCTAGTTTCTGTATATTAATAATAACTTGTAACAGGTCACACTTGATCGTTCGAACCCAAACTAGGCTGAGCCTGTTCTATGTATGTAACCAGGTTGTTGGTAAACATACTTCTTTGTACATATAGACTAGCTGGTGCCCGTAACTTCGTTCGCGTGGAATTTGAAAAGCGCTGCTTTAGTGGGTTCGATTCCCACACCGGGCAAAATTTTATAGGGGTTTTTCTGAGAGAAAAAAGCCTAAGTTACTCCTTGTATTGACAGATACCTGGTAGTAGAATATTATCAAAATCGGTACATTCGTTTACCAGAAGATTACCCGAAAAAAACAGACAGACAGACAAAAAACATTAAAAGTGATTTTTAAGCATAGGTATCGTGCAAATAACCGTGTGAGCATGAAAAAAACCCTATTATTTTGACATTACAAACATTCACCACCTCTGTCATGGTATCTACGCAGATCCGACATGTGATAATTGCCAACAACTTCACCAGTCTTCTGTGTGGTAAGAGCAAATGTAGTGGGACTCACCTTCTTGGAGACTACATACGGACCATCCTGTTTCGGAATAAACTTGGAAGTAACACCTTTGGAAGCATTACTTAAGACATGTGTCTTCATAAGCACAAGATCGCCTTCTTTGAAAGGATCCGAAGCCCGACGGCCGGAATCCGCTTGATGCTTGCGAAGATCCTGCTGATGCTCGATATTCTCCTTAGCTTGAGAGAGAGAGTCAACCAGCTTCAGAAGGTACGGTGTGATCTGAGGGACCAAATTCTCAGATTCGATGACTGCGCGTAAATCAGCCTGGACAGAGAGGGGAGAGCGAAGCTCGCGACCGAATGTCAAGTAAGCTGAAGTGGAACCGGTGGAAACTGTAAAGGAACTATTCAGAGCAAAACGGACGAACGGTAAAACCTCAGGCCATTGCTTGTGATTGCCCACTACAAGAATAGCTAGGTGAGCCTTTAAGTCCCGATTTCTTCTCTCTACCGGGTTGGCCTCGGGATGATATAGTGGTATCAGGTTCTGTTTCACACCTAAGACAAACAACGCCTTCTGCATTACATCAGCTACGAATTGAACTCCGTTGTCGGAGATCATACGCCTAGGGAGTCCATACCTCATAAAAATCTCACCCACTAAGGTTTTCGCACAGATCTCGGCTGTGGCTTCGGTAAGGGCAAAAAGTTCAACCCACTTACTAGCGGTGTCCTCTACTATTAAAACCCACCTTTCGCCTTGAGGCCCTTTAGGTAACGGTCCAAAGAGGTCAACAGCGATGATCTCAAATCTCTGTGCGGGTACAGGAGTCTGGAGTAAACCAAGAGGTTTTAGGTTTGAGGCCTTGTACCGCTGACACTCCGTACAGGTCCTCAGGTAGTTGGTAATATACTTCCTCATGCCTGGGAAGTAGAACTGCTGGGATATGCGATGAAGAGTCTTCTGGATACCCCCATGAGCGGCGGTCAGCGAGTCGTGACACTCGTACATGACTTTGCTTCTCAGGCTCTCCGGAACGACCAGCTGAGGCTCTTCAGCATCCGAATCCTCTACATACCTGTACAATACTCCCTGATTGATAAGGTACCCTCTATCCGACCAACGGTGTACGGACAATTCGTCAGTACTCTCTAAGTCAGTGAGAATCTTAGCTACTTCTGGATCTGACAATTGAGCTTCGCGGGTAGATGTGGCGTCCCATCGTGGAATGTCCACGGTGACCGGACAGACACCACATCCCGATGTACTATCTATAACTGGGCGGCTGAGTGTGTCGGCTACCACATTAGCCTTCCCAGGAGTGTACTCGATTCGCAAATCAAAAGACTGTAACTTCAATGCCCAACGAACTAGCCTACCGGTAGGCGATTTGAGCGTGAACAGCCACTTCAGGGGTTGATGATCGCTCCTGACACATACCTGATGACCATCGACGTAGCCACGGAATCTCTCCACTGCCCAGACAACGGCCAACGCCTCCCTCTCAGTGGTGGAGTAGTTCCGTTCTGCCGGCGTAAGGAGACGACTAGCGTACTCGATGGGATGTTCATCTTGTGGTGACTCCCCCTGGAGTAAGGCTGCACCTAAAGCGAAATCGCTGGAGTCCGTTCTAAGGATGAAAGGTCTTGAGTAGTCCGGCTGGGTCAGAATGGGGGGTGAAGCTAAAAGAGTCTTGAGCTGTATAAAAGCACTAGTTTGGTCCTTACCCCATTTCCAGGTCTGTGACTTTTTTGTTAGACGCGTAAGAGGTTCAGCCACCTTGGCAAACTCTGGGATAAACTTGCGGAACCAAGAGCAAGTTTGGAGGAAGGTGCGAAGTTGCTGGAGAGTTGTCGGTTCCTTCATCTCTAAAATAGCACTTACCTTCTCTTCGTCTGGAGATATACCATCATGAGAGATCACGTGGCCAAGGTACTTGAGCCGGTCTCTGGCAAACACACACTTCTCTCGGTTTGCTCGGAGCTTGTACATACGGAGACGCTCGAATACCGCACGCAAATCTGCTATATGGGACTCCAGGTCCTCCGAAATGACCAGCAGGTCATCCAAATAACCCAAAATAGTCCTACTACTAAGTGTAGACCCTGATCTGAAACGGTCTATGAGCCTCTGAAATGTCGCTGGCGAATTCTTAAGGCCAAACGGCATACGTTTGAAGCGATAGGTACCAAAGGGCGTGACGAACGCAGTTTTATCGCGATCGGCGGTGCTTACCTGCCAGTAACCACTGCGAAGATCTAGAGAACTCATTACACAACCCTTCTTGGTCGACTGTAAGAGCTCGTCAATACGCGGCATGGGGTACGCATCCGTCTTAGTAACAGCGTTCAACTTTCGGTAGTCGACACAAAACCTATAGGTACCATTACGTTTCGGTACTAAGACGCACGGCGCTGCCCAGGCGGATTCACACTCCTCGATCACGTCCTCAGCTAACATCTTGTCTAACTCGGCGCGCATGATCTCCTTCTTGGCAGGTGTAAGGCGATACGGAGGTAAAGCAATAGGCGGATGGTCGCCGGTATCTATGTGGTGTTCCGCAAATGGTGTAGGTTCTCCTACTATATCAAAAGTATCGGAGTACTCACCTAAAAGATTCTCCAACGTCGACCTTTCCGACCCCGACAACATTGCGCCCTCATCCGTCCTCAGTACATTCACTGAAGCACACTGAATGGGTGCACGTTCCGATTCCCATGACAAGGTGTAAAGTGTCCGAGGCTGATCCATGGTACGCCAAGTCCAATTAGAAAAATCGATAACCATCTTAGCTTTAGTAATAAAATCAATGCCCAACAGAGTATCGTTGTTAACGGCCTCAGGTAAAATAATGAATTCAATAGGTATCGATAATGAAGCAAGTTGAACATTAACTATCGTCAGTAGCACATCACTATTCCAAACAATACCGTCCGCAAGCTTCAACGACATCGTTTCGGCGCGAAAGTCTGAACCAATACGTTTCAGTAAGGAATAAAGTGAATAACTCGCAATACTACGACGCGCGGCGGTATCTAACAACGCGGTACCCTGATATCCCCCCACACACACGCGCACGATAGGCCGACCCTGCTTATTATTATCGTTAACAAAATCCGAACATGACTTCTTACTATCTATATACACTGAAGAAAACACATTTTCTATCTTAACATTTGTGTTACTATCTCCGGCACTACCTTGTTTACCTTTAGGACAATTAACTCTAACGTGGCCTTTTTCACCACAATTATAGCAAACAGTGCCAGAGTTAGTAGAAAGAGAACGTTTACTTAGCTTATCACATGAGTCCCGTACGTGTCCTCGTCCCTTACAATACACGCAGAACAACTTCTTATCACTGTTATCACTTTTGCTCACACACTGATCACTACGCGGCGAGTTCGCTCGCGGGGCGCGGGCAGTGCGAACCGGCGGCGACGGCGACGGCGTCGAACTCGATCCCGGAGCGACGTGTTGCTGCGCGCTCTCGCTGAGCGCGAGGGGAGCCTTCGTAGGTAAACACGACGACGACGGTGACGTGGAGTTCTCCGACAACGATTCTTCTATGCTGCGAGATTTTCTATCAGTGATTCAATATCACTCACAGCGTCTCTTGGTAACCGCTTCCTGATTCTCTTGTGAAGTAGACCATAAATCATATCCAGTCTCGCTTCCTCTGGTAACTGATAAGGCAGTTTCGCCAACAGAGATCGTACTCTTACGATAAAAACGTCGGCGCGTTCCAACCCTTGCTCAGCAGCGAAAACATCTCTGTACAGTTTGTACGGTGGCCGTGGTATGCCATACATCGAACGCAGGCGCTTGACTGCCTCTGACCATGACGTGACTTCATGACGGATGCCACGCCACCAAACTGCTGCTTGCCCATTTAATAACATGGGGAGTCCACGAAGTGCCATCTCATCGCTGACCGAAGCGCAATTCATAAACATCTCGACAGCGTCTATGAATGCTTCGACCGCCTCCGGATACTCCGACGAACCATCGAAGCGCGAGGTGCATTTGACGAGATTCCCAGAATAAGATGACGGTGTAGCGACGGAGTTCACACTGGGCGGCGTCCCTGAGTGCGATGTCAGTAGTGACTCGACGAGCTTCTGGTTCGCCTCGGCCTGCGCCGAAGAGAAGGCGGCCAGGAGCGACGCTAACTGAGTTTGAGACATAAGCACCGGAGCCACAGGTGTCTCTGTCACCGACACAGGTTCATCTTCCGAACTGGAGTCGTTATTACGAACTTTACGCGGCGGCATTGTGTTCACGAAAAATACCTACTCGAACAGTCTAGAACATCGGCCCATACGTTGGGAGCCAGTATAATGCGTTGTATAATGTTTTATTTATTTTTAAGTCTACAACAACAAACACATTACAGATTATACTTTACAATGTTAGTATAATGAAACTTATCCTTAAACTTAACTTTCACTTCAATTTCATTTATTTGTATAGATAAATATGAACAGTAAATGGCCTCTGCTTTTTTATGGTATAGAGAGCAAACGATCGAATCATCTGATAGTGACTAACGCCGCTCGTGGACAACCCTCAAGAGTCCCAAGAGCGTTGCCACTCTTTGAGCCTTCCCCAATACAAGAAGGGGGGTTTGGACTTCGGTAACCTCGCGCACTCATTATAAAGCAACGGAAGAATTGCGTTACACTGATTTTCTGTGTAGCCGTGGTACCACACCGGGCGAGCCTATTTGTACCGAAGTATGACTCTCAAACATACTCCTTGCTGCTGCAGTATACAAAAGGTTGACTGGAAGAAAATGCCCTAGGCATTAAGTCCGCTCATGTAAAAAATTGTATAAATAAATAACTAGAGCTTTTCGTTTGAAGCCACTCCATTTATATTGAAGAAATTGCCAATTTAAAAGTTAAAATTTCTTCCGAGTCATGAACAAAAATTACTCTAGGCATCTATTCATAAAATATCTAACCTTTCTGTGTTTACAACTGTTGTTATTCTTTGTATGCACTTATACGTACATACAACAATATTAGTTACTTTGTTTCCCACTTGTCTTGTACGTAAATTAAACAATGGTGATTGATGATTATTTGTATTGTTTCAGGTAGGCGGCTCATTATCGATTGCAGTGAGTAGTCATGCATTGATGGAAGTTTTAATTACTAAAGATAATGCTCGCTTAATTGCTGTGTCACTGTGAAGGAATGGTTGGATGAGTATTGACATTCTTAATCATCCCGAAGTTCATCATGAACTAATCATAATTTGTTCACGTCTCTCAAATATCATTGCATCAATACTGATCAAATATCCTGCTGTTGCACTGTCGTAGATTAAGATTTTTAAGAGCAAATTCTGTCTTCTCTTTCATGCTTTATCTTTCATGCAGGCTTATATATATTTTTACTTGAAGCACAAATATATATATATGTGTGCATTAAAGATAAAAAGTCTACATTTCATAATTATGTAATGTTATTATCATTCATCACACCTACACATTTCATTTCTCATAGAAATGTTTCGCATTGTCTAAATTTAGAGACTACTCATGATCAACTAAAATTAAAAAGCATGTTATCGCGTGTTCACGTAAATTATCGAAATTGCTCGAATCCCCGAAAGCGTTCGAGAGCCTGGCAATATCACGCAATCTAAGTATAACATTCCATGGACCGAGCTGGCGGTGCAGTTACTATATACATATATATCGTAATGTATTTTGTATACACAGTACACAATGTTTATTAGATAAGCATTGGTATTTAATCGACTTGTTTACCATATTTAAATTGGAATGCCACAGGGTATCATTGTAGGTTCTCAACATTTTTATTAGTATCGATATTACGTAATATGTTTTAAATAAATTAAATTAATGTGCTCGTCATACGAGTATAATAAAAGGCATGCAATAAGCTTGCGTTTAATTATACTTCTGTCGGTTAATTATGCTGTCACTTCGTCTCTTTCGGGGTTTACAGATGGAAATATTTAGGGGTATCATTAAGAGAAAACAGAGATAAGAAGGAAAAGCAATGGAAAATATTGAAAATGGGAAGAATGAAGATGGATTTATTAGGTAATGAAAAAAAGATTGATCACATTAGGGTGGTATGCCTATTACTGAAACTAGTTTTCACTAGGAATTCTGAACTTCAACTCTTACTGTTTTTTTCTATATTGACTTTAGGACTTTATGTCAAAAATATGTAATGGGCATACCGACATCATATGAATGTACATCTAATTCTTTTGAAAGATATTCTCTTTTATACTGAAATCAGACGCCAATCCACAAACCTCGTAGTTCGGTGAATTAAGTTTTTTTCTTATAAATCCAAACCCATTGAGTGGTATGAGCTTTTCTGCTGAATCCCGTGTTACAAAACCAGAAACTAATCTTAGTTATCCTTTAACTTTATACTGTGATCATAATTCAGCTTTGTGTCTCTTGATTCATCGTTAAAAGCCTCCCAATTTATTTCGTTGATACCAAGATCATTTATAATCGTTGTGCAATCATTCTTGACAGTGTTGTGATTAACTCTGTTTAGTGTGTCCCGGGGCGTTATCGGTATGTTCATGTGGTGGTAATTAGCAGTTACGTTATAGTAATTAGAAATTAGAGCGATAGTTACTGTCCTCGGGTATGATACAGGTTTTTGTAAAATAGCCGTTGTATGACAATCTGCATAAAACATCATAAAATCTATCGCCCTACATGGATCCGTGTTGGCAAATAAAGAGAACGGACGAGATACGCCTGCACGTAACGTAAGGATGTCTAAATGCAAGTTTCTATTTTCCCGTCCGTCGTAAATGCCATGTATCCAATCAATGCAATCTTTAAAAGAAAACTTGATTAACTATAACAGTAATTAAGTATAAATACTCTGGATGACTATTTACTGTTTAACATATGATATGATATATTATTAGTTTTCTTGTCATCAAAGTTTTACATTTTAATAAGTACCAGTAAAACGGATTTCGTTCATCCCTGCAATTAACATTAAATGCTTTGTAATTTGTTGATCACGTCATTAATCTGATAGGTGGGGATGAACCCAGCACAAAATGGCTGTTTGTTACCTTTATCATTAGGCCTAGTTATAGACTATTATAGTATAGTAAGCCTTAAGTCTTTTTTTCTTTACTTTTTAGTCAGCTTAGTCCAATGTTGGGCATAGGCGTCTCCTTAGAAAGGAGGTTTTGGCCTACAATGCCACGTTGGCCAGACACATGGGTACTCTTATAGGGTTGTTTTCAAGTTTGCCTTAGGACAACCCACAGGATTAATAGGAATGGTTACACTCAATATAGACTCACAATTATATTGTTTTGTCTGTCTGTGTATCTGTTTGGGGGGAGGTCAGTAGAGGTTGACTTCGCAGGACATGTTCTGACCGAATTGGAAACGTTCTATAAAAGTGCAAGTCAGAAGTAGCCAAAAGAAGAAGACTTGTATTAAAATTTTTTGGGTGTAGAAGAAGCTCGTTATGTATATATATATGGGATCATCACATCATCATCAACAGCCTTGAATAGTCCACTGCTGGACATAAGCCTCTCCTTAGAAAGGAGGTTTTGGCCTACTAAACCACGCTGGCCAGACGGGTTGGAATAGGGTTTAGGCGCTAGGAGGGGTCCGGATGTCTTAACAACCGGCGGCGCTCTAAACGAAACGTATTTTACAATTCATGTCAAATTATTCTATGACAGTAACTTTATTATCAACTGAAGATTAATACACATTACTATACACCGGACAAGTACAAGATTACTAAATTCAATCCCGTTTTATATGTCAAGAGAGCTCCATCCATTAAATATAATATAATCCGCTACACCCACTCTCACGAGACAAGATAAACAGGTGTCGGAGTCCATGACACCCATCTTTAGGTCCAAGTGTTGCATAAATACAATATTTGTGTTTAACAGCAAACAGTAAAGTTGACGGATGTGTAAACACTTTTAGCTGTCAGTGTGTCATAAGGTCTTAGGGCTGTCAATTGTGCGCAGTGGTCTCTTTCTGTGAAGCTGTAATGCTCCAGAAAGAGGGGGAAGTGTTCTTCCCTGGGATAGGGCCTGATTAGGCATGGTGTCAATTCGGGGAGGACCTGAAATAACATGGTCCGGGTCCTCCCCAGAGTAGGACACCTAAGGCCGGCCGTCGGGGTGGTTAGGGCTGTCCATTGTATTTAGATAAGAATCAAAGCTCAGTTAAATAGACCTTTTATTTTAAGGAGCCATCGAGCACTGTCGAACAGACGAGTCATCAAAGAGTTATCAGTGTTTGTAGTGATGTTAACACCTTCGAGCATAATACTGGTTAAAAGTGGTTTAAAAAGCTTACAGAATGTTTACATAACTTTTAGTGAAACCCTACATAATTTTCTTTCGATCATGTTAAATACATGGATTTAAAGTTAAAGGGGTTGGTTGGATTAGGTTTAAAATTGTCTAGCAAAATAACTTCACACACGACCTTCTGATCCTAAACTAGGCAGAGCTTGTAAGAACCGGAATTCTGGTAAACATACTTAAATAATTCTAAGTACGTAAATATTATAGATCATTACACCTACACAAAACAAATATCTTTGCTCATTACACTAGTATTTATATTTATTGAAAACTTACCACACGACCTTCTGATCAGCAGTCAGTATCACAAAAGACTAAAGCAAAAGACCTGCGGACTTAGGCCTTGTTTCCAACCCGGGACAAATAACTGTGTAAAAAGCACGGTCAGTTGTTCTGTGTCTGGATGTAATTTATCTATCTATACAAATAAATAAAATTGGAATGTCTGTTTGTAATATTAAAATAACCGCTTTTTACTAAATGCATATGTATGTTTACACGGTACATATGCCAAAATAACATTTTATACATTTTTTGTCTGTCTGTCTGTCTGTTTGTTCCGGGTAATCTCTGGAACGGCTGGACCGATTTCGACGGGACTTTCACTGGCAGATAGCTGATGACATAAGGAGTAACTTAGGCTACATTTTTTAGACTAGATTCACCCCGCGGCGTTGCCCGCGATTATAACAACAAACGCGGGTAACGCCGCGGGTCTCAGCTAGTAATATTTATGTCTTTAAAATTATAAAAGTATGTTATGTCCGTGTAGTGACGGATTAAGAATACGGAATGTCACTACCCCAATTCATCCCGTGGGTGTCGTAAGAGCCGACTAAGGGCGCAAAACAACGCAAAACAACGCAAAACAACGCAGGACACCAGCACTGCAAAAAGAAGGAAA